CACGGTTTCCACTGTGCATAATTAGTACGGCGGCTGGTAGTAGCCGCCACGTTTGTCGAACAATACCACTGTAATTCTTTTCCACGATTGAAAACCTCGTTACCAGAATTTCGGACTTGGCGGGTTCGTTGCGTTAATTAGTACGTTCGCTGCTCGAGGGCAGAAAATGAAAGGAAGGAGAGAAGAAATAAAAAACAGAAAGCGAGTCAACGAGAGTCGAGAACGATATTCGCGGTGTTCGACGAGTTCGAAGTTCCAAAGGAAGCGATCTAGCGAACTTTGAAAATCAAGCATTCCACATCGTATCCACGGGTGTACGGCAAGATTAATTGTTTTTAGTTCGGGCGAGAGTTTCCCCCATTCGTGATTCGCCGAAGCTTCCCGAGGCCGATAACAGCCGCCTCGATTCCAGTTTGATTAATTAGTCTCATTCTCCGGGATACCGCGAACACGGCGAGAATACGCGAGAGTGTACGCCAGGGTGTACGCGGTCGTCGCCGATAGGGACGACTAACATTGAAAATTAAATCCTGTCCTCGCCTGTGTGTGTTTGGCACCTCGTCGACAATAACGTCCAGGATGTATCCAGGAACTACGGTTTGAAACATACCTGGAAATTAATTTCTCTCTCTTTTGTTTCTCTCTCTCTCTCTCTCTTTCTCTTTCTGGCTGTAGTCTTGTACCTTGGCGAAATTCTCTTTCCACGACCGGAAAGCCTTCCACGGCCAGCAAGTTCCTTCGAGCGCGAAGAATCGTGCATGTGCGAGGACTGCAATTTCCAACGCCGATCCGCCGTCATCGGGGGAAAGTGGCTCGTTTTCGCCGTTTTCCTGCGAAACGGTCTTGTGTTCAGAGTCATTATTGCGTCGGTTTTATCGGTCGGTACACACTCAAATCTTTTTCGACTAGTTCCTTTTCCCCCTATTGCCTCTATTTTCTCTTCGCTCTTCACGATCTACGCTTTACTGGCGTTGGAATTTTTTGTTCCGCTCACACGACTTCTCTCTTGTTACTGTCTTCTTTATTCTCGGACAGTTTTCTCTTCGTTCGTTCAGACTGTTGGAATTTTGTATCCTGTTGATGACTTCTTGTTTCTTGTCCGAACGTTGTTCATTTCTGTTGCACGTCACTCGTTAGATTTCCACACAACTTTACCTTGTCACATTCTATGTATTTTCTCCTTAATCTGTTACATGAATCATCTGTTTGCTCAACTCGCAGAATTTTTGTTTCAAATTTTTCGATAATTTCTTTTCGAAGTTTATCTGTTATATAACAGTACGACAGACATTCAGACACATGTCTACGTCGTAATATTTTTGAGCATTCTTTTTTATGGTTGTTTGGTTACGACTGCCATTATGTTGATCTTGTTAATGGACGAGAAATTTTCGATGAGAAATAACGGTGAGATGCAAATGGTATCGAAGAACCGAAGGCAGTAAGCAAGCATGCTAATCACCTCGCCGCTCCCGAGGTCTCATTGGTATTCTTCTTCTTTTCCACGTTATCCGGTTCGCATAAATTTTCTTTGCAATTTCTCGCTGTATTTTGACTCCCAACTTTTCAATTTCAATCCCTTTCCCCTTATATCTAACAACATATCCTTTCTCACTTTAATTTCGTTATGCAGATTCGTATTTTCATTTAGGCGGAGATTTGTTTCGCTTGCTAATTGTTTCTACACGCGCGCGGAATGTTTAGATAAGTTATCAAAAAAGGAGGATGTTTATAAGCTGCGATTCTGTAGACGGCAAGACGAAGGAAAAATATCTCTCTACACGAAAATCTCATTTGAGCCACTTGGTTTTCAATCTACGAGTGGTTTTATACTCGCGCCAGTAGTACGAGTCAACGAATCGGTCGCCTTTAGCTCCATTCTATTTCGTGCTTCTCTGAAAGCAACAAATTGTCGTTAAAAAGAAAGGAGTAAATGTTGAAAATTTGGCTCTATAACGATACTCGTTTAAAATTGAAGAAGGAAATGAAATGTTCTAAATGAAGATTACTAGAGATGTGACCATCGATAATGCTTTTGAACGATATTTAATAATAATTTGAAAAGACAGGTTTTGAAGTGACAGGTACAATAATTAGAAGCTAGTTATTAAAACTCACAACGATTGTATTTTAGAGTTTTACATTTTACGCAATTTTATACATTGCATGCTGCAAATACAAATTCCCTGCAAATGTACAAAATGATCCACAGATCCCTCGGTTTTATCCTTCGTTCTCTCTTCATTCTCCGGCGCTCTCAAATCTCATAATCCCCGACGAAGGTACAACAGTTGCGTTCCGACGCGTAACAGTATCCAGCCTCGAGTTTCGCCGTCTATCCAGCTTCGGTCTCGCGATCCTTCGAAGGAACGTCGAACTTCACAGGTTGCATAAATTATGACCGTCTCGATTTCGAAACGCGCCGGATTTCCTCTACTCATTATCGACGGCTCACCGTTTAATCACCGAACGCATGCCTGCTACAGTGGGATGCGAGTTGCTCGGTTCGTTGAAACAAACGATCGGCATTGGTTGGATTAACGGGTTTGCAGCCGAAGGTTGAACGCGCGCGCCAGAGAGAGCGCGCGGGAACGAGAGACGACGAGAGCGTAACGGCACGTTTCGCGTTTAATTACGGCTTTAGTGTATCATTAATAAACATCGATACGTCCGTACGCCCGTGCCATAGCCTGTCGCGTAGCCTGCCTCGTGCCTCGTTATTAATTAGCGACGTTACACGTAAGAGGATTGAGAACGGACGTGTTCCCCCTCTCCATTTTATTTCCAGAATCATCCATTACGAGCCACTCTGTCGGATACACGAGTGGAGAACGGAGTGAAGAGAGAGAAGAAGGAGGGGGGGGGGAGGGAGAGAAATGATGTAGGTCCTCCCTAGAGAAAAATGATGCTCTTTCCGCCGGTGATAATTAAGAGGCCAGAGAAGAAACCGTGGCGAGGTAGTGACTTCGAGATCGAGGCTTTTTGTCGTCGATGAGCCACGATAAGATCAAGCTCGATGATCTTTGAACCATTTGGGGAAGTGGGCTTTGACGCAGAGAGTGAAGAACGATCTCATAATGGACGTAGGGTTTTATGGTAAAATTATCGTGGTCAACTGTGGATTGTGTTAAATCGTGTGATCGAGATCGATCGGGATTTGATAAAATTGAAGGGCCCGAATAAAGTTGAATTACGTGTTTTATTAACTGTTGAAGTATCGCACATATATGTACATGTATAAATGATTAATTCATTATATTGCTGCGTACGATACCTCGTTATTTATTACTATTGAGTAATGTAATGTGAGAACAGTGGAATTACCGCGCGCGAAGCGAACGAGCGCTTTAGAATCAAGTGGATGTTGATGCCAGGAGAGATGAGCGATTGAGAGGATCCTTTATTTCGATCTTAAAAATTATGTTATTGATCTTGCGTAAGAGGGAATTGAGAATACTCGTGCTTCAACGAAGATGAAAGAAGAAAATGCAAATCACTGAACTAATCATTGACGTGTATGTGCAGTTTTGCAAGACGTTGAAGATTGAAAATGATTTGATCCTAATTCAATGGTTAGAGTATGTTGGTCAAAAATTTTATAAATTTACAACTTCAATGATCTTCGGTGTTTTATCAATGAATTGTGCATTGATTTGATCCCATCGCTAATCGATAGAAAGTTATACAAGTATCTCCCTCTTTTCTCTTTTTTGTTTTTTATTTTTGAGGTAACGAAAGTAAATCGTTGAAGAATGTCGCCTGGAAGAAGTGGCTCACATCTCACAGAGGAAGAAGAGGCATCGCGCGTTCACATTCCGTTTCCTACGACATTACGCTTTCAAGATATTCAATAGGAATTCATAACATATTCAGCGTGTAGCTCTCGCAGAAAATGAAAATGAGCCTCTGTCGAAATTTCAAAGGAACTCGCTGCTAAAAGAGTATATATACGGTACGTTTGTAAAAATATCTCTCCTCGGAGACCCGTAGAAAATTCGCAGCTACCGCCCGTTACCCGTTTTGCCTTTTAATATTTCAGCAAGCACAAATGTAAGCAAGAATTTGACATCTTTCTCTTGGAAAAATGCAATTTTAACTTTCAGCTTGTCGTGTCGCACTTCGCGCACCTCGTACTACCTAACTGTCACTTGTTCCGAATCAATTCTGTCCGTCTCTTTCGGATAAAAATTTTTCTCGATAACTTCGCTGCAGCGAACGTTGCTCAAATAATTGTTTGAAATTCAATTTCCTATACAGGGGATTCGAGATTATATTTTATTTGCAATTTCTTTCGAACAATTATATCGTTGAATTCTGTTTTCCAACTTTGTGGCTGTCCAAGGGAAATCCAAGGAATTCCATTTATTAATAAAACTTTCAATATTTGTAACGATAAAATATCAATCAAATATAAGTGAAATAATTTATCAGTAAGTATTGTAATGAAAATTTTTTTAGTTAATCATTGCCAGCGAGTAGAATATTTGGTACGTAAAACGATTTTCTGCTATTCGAATTGTATTCCCAAAAAATATGAATTTGCAGGAAAATCTACCGATAGCTCGAAACATTTCGGTTGATTTTTCATGTTACATTTCCCAATCAAAATTTTTCATACCTACGACAGTTTCGATTTTTATCACGTTGAATTCCAGATGAAAATTTTATGAAAACTACACGTCCGAATTCGATACAATAATCAACACACTGTTAACAACATTTTTGCTCGACTAGATTCTAATTTTACATTGACGTTCAATAATTGATATTATTCAACAAGCTAGCTTCTAGCCGCCAAATTTTGAACAATTTTCGTATATTCACCGTTACCTCGAAGAGTTGTCTCTGCCGAATTCTCGAACGAACGATCAACAAGCAGAGGTGCAGCATCGAAGAGGAGGAAATTACGGTTGTAGGAGGAAGGTTGGAGCTAATCACAGTTCAGTGAACGAAACGAACGTATCTGGACATCGAGCAAATGAAGGAAAACTGCCACTTACCTGACTGGGACTGCACACCGCACCATCGGCAAGACGACAAGGTACCTCGTGAGGGGCATGATGAAGCCGTTGAGGGTGGCAACAAGGGTCGTTGCAGTCCTCCTCCCATCCGCAATCACACTCTTCACCATCTTCTACAACTCCGTTCCCGCAGATTGCATTTTGGGGCTCTGTGAAATCATCGATTTTCCATTTCAACTCGATCAACCAGACTCTCCGTTACGCCACGCTATAACATTCCCTTACATACGTTTTATTCAGAGCAGACTCGCTCTGAACTGGTCCTTACGGGACCATACTCTCGGCATGATACAGAATAGATTCAGTCGATTTTTGAAAAAATTATCAGTGTATAATGGAAAGTTCGTGTGCCACTCAATCTACTTGAGAACGTTGAGTTTGAAACTTGAGTTTTTTCATTTGTAACATCTGTAGCTGTGATTTGTGTCATTAATTTTTATTTTTTGATAAATTTGTTTTAAGATTAAGGTTTAGGGTTTTTTCGTTGTTACGAGATTTTGAATGAAATTAATGTAGACGCTTTCTGAATTGGTCCTTGCGAAACTATATTTTTTGATCGGATAAACGACTGATCGATTGATCAACGTAATGAAATATTCATTCATCATTTAAAATTAGATTTAGATGTAAACTTTTGTTCAATTGCAGACTGAGAATATTATGTACATTTCTGGGAAAAGTTATTTATTTATATAGAAAATATCCAAATTTAAAATATCCAAGTAATTGTAACATAAAGTTTAATGAATAATACAAATTTTTGTTTAAATTCCCTTTTCTTCTTTAATTCATAAAAATAAACAATTCTGTAAATACAAATGATAAATTTCAGTATCAATTGTTGTTCCTTTTAATTTAAATGAAAATAATTGGTTAAAGCAGACTAGCAATATTTTAGAATCCAATTATTGTTATAATTTCATTTCCCACGAATCCTCCTTATTTGAACCTCTATTTTGAGTTAATGACACAAAGGTAACAACACAAGAGTAGATTTAATTAAAATTTTTATGTAGATTAAATTTACTTTTTGATGAAAGTACCAAATAAAATCCAGATAAGAATTAGTAGCCTACGGTATCTTTTTTCTCAAATGTACCGTGCTTCTAATTATTAATCGTATTTACGAAATAATTTCTCCGAGCTTCAACACCGGATAGAGTATCGCTTTGATTTCAAACGAACGAAGAATGAGCCACAAGTGGAGGCAAAGTGGATGGAATAAATGTTAGCCTGATTTGCTGCGAGCTTAATGAAATCCTGGATTTAATGAAGCTCAACAAGTCGACCGTGACTATGTAATGTAATCAATTGCGAGCCGCGTCGAGTGATGCTCGAACACCTCCGTTTTTATGGCGGTCGACGAGAATTTTCCGAAATTTTTCCATGTTTTTACCTCCTTCACAAATAGAAGAATCGTGGGGTACCATGGTTTACCAGCGACTTAATCGAACCACCGTTGCATCCATATGCAATGAATTTGAACAATCTTTTGAATAGAAATGAGAATGTTCTCTTTTCAATAACACTTTTTCTCTCCAATTTTGTGGAGCAGGAAATTTCGGCCTAGCTTCACAGCTTTGTGGAAAATTTATGGACAACAAAATTCATTTCGCGGGATAGGAAATTTCCCAAGTGTCCGCGAATTAGCTTTGCGGGGAATTTGTGGGCTACGAAATTCATTTTTTGTGGCAAGAAATTCCAGGCTAGCTCAAAAATTAGCTTCGAGGAAAATTTGTGGGCTATGGTATTTCATGAAAAATTCTGAGAATGTGAAAATTGGAATATAACGAGATATGAAGTACAGAATAAGGCATATAGAATGTGGGATGTGGAATGTGGAACATAAAATATAGAATGTGGTGTAGAGACTATGTGCTACGTACTATATTGGATATATTGAGAATGTAACACGAGCTGTGGAAAATGTGACACACAGAATGTGAAATGTGCGATATAGGATGCCGCATACACAGAATGTAAGACGATGTGAATGCAGAAAAAGAAGTATAAAGTATTTAATGTAAAATGTGAACTGTACAGATATATAGAATATAAGATATGAAATGTGGGATATAAAATGTGGGATGTGAATTATTGCACAGAGATGTGAGACATGGAACGTGACGTGTATGATGTGAAATATGGAATGTAGGATATGGGGTATGAAATACAGAATGTGAAATGTGGAATGTCGTGAATGTAGGTTGTGGGATATAGAATATTGGGTATATCTTTAATATCCTTTAATATTCGAAGAACCTTTTTCATCGATTGCCAACGGTCACGAAGGAATTTTATGTTATTAACAATTAACCGGTCGGTATCTGTTTCTTGTTTGTCGCTCGTTTGCCCGTACGTTCGCGCGGTGAATGCTCGTTGTCCGAAACGAGTTTTCGCGCGGACCATGTAGAGCCCGCTATTAGAATTGCAATTGAGTTGCAGTTAGACCTGGAGGTCGATCGATATACCGAAGCAGCGCCGATATCTTTCCTCGTTTTCTTTTCGTTTTATCTTGCTGCACGGCAGTATTAGCGTAATAAAAGTGGATCGAGAAGCATTCGCGTTTTTTCCGACCACTCTCGCCTCTTCTCTTCGTTAGTTCTTCTCGTGGATAATTGTTGTGTCGCGAAGTGATTTATAAATTACAATCATGCACGTGTGTAAAACTTATAATTAGCTCCCGTTGAATTTGACTAAAAACATGGACCACGTTGTCATTTCATCAAAATTTGAATATCGCGCATTTCTTGAATTTTCGTCGTAATATTCAGAATTCAGTAAAATGATTTTAAAAAAATTACACGGTATGTTTCACGGGATGAAGAGGAAATTTCCATCTTCAATACTGTGGCGAAGAAAATATTTCAGTGCCTTTAGGGACATTTGAATTTTTAAAATTCCTTATTTCTCTCAATTTATCATTTTTGCTCCTCCACCTATTACGCGATATAAAAATATTGTTGGAAAAAAATAGACTCATATATTGTCAAAGTAGAGGTTCTGCGTTTTTAAATGAAACCAAGTGGACTGTTCGTATGTTTTTTCTTTTAACAAAGTTATAAAAATTTAAAATAACAACAATTTTTCATCGTTATTCTTTATTTTATCTATATCTTATGATAAATGGATATTTATGCTGCATTCTTAGATGTCAAAATTCTCAAATCTTCAAAGCCAGCAGATGTTACATTATGCAATTGTTAAAAATCGAAAGGATATTTTTGTTTCACGATAACCAAACTCGTTACTCTGTAACACACGCTGATCATCATTAACAATTCCTTAAGACTTTGAGTATTTAGTCTTTGCTAGAATATTCTACGGATAATCTTGTAATCGATAATAAAATAATTGGTTTACTTGCCAGAAGAATCCAAAGGGAATAACACGTTGCGATATTCTGAATAAACGTATCAAACATGTATTCGTTGAAAAACGAATGCATTCTAAATTTGTTACTTGCTCCTCACACGGCATTAAACTTTATGCATCCCAGTGGTTTGTAATTTCAACTGCAACAACTTAACCTCAAAATTCCTCAAGTTCCACCGATCTGAATCTATGGCGCGTAGAGATTCAACAGAAAATACGTTAACAAGTAATTAACAAGCAAAGCGGCCTGCGGAGTATCTTCGGCAGCGATATTGTATAAATAATTCGGCCGACGAACGCGCGCGGACGCTCTCAATCGAGGTGAAAGAGGTCACGGCTGTGTTGACCGGAAACACAGCCTAGCCGTTGACTCTGTTCGGCAACTAATTAAAATTCCAGAAGCTTCTCTCTACTCACCGGCGAAGCATCCCTTGGACGAACGAGCTTTGGCATTTAGAACGGGATTTATGGAGACCAGGCTGCACGGGCTGAAGCGGTTGTTATTTCGTTTGTCGCCGCTGGTCGCCCTGGCGAACATTATAAAATTCCCGTCCTCCCCACCGGGTGAACACTCGTCCGGATCGTGCTTGTCGCGTTAACAGAAAGAGGGGAAACGTCAGATTATTCATTCCGCGGTATCGTTTGTCATGCATAACGCGGCGAACCTCGAGGAATCACCCCCTTACGAGGGGAAAGAAGCTGCAATTAACCGGGACGCTGGCCCTTTTGTCCTTTGAATCAACCACGCGAACGTTGCTTGCCACGGTTAAATTAAATAATCGGACCTTTCTCACCGGAAGGAAACAGCGTCGATTGCGAATGAAGTATTTTTAAAGTTGCAGAGAGAACAATAGCTTTCTACTGGCAGCCAGCGAGATGAAAATTTAAATAAAAGAACGTTCGTTGCGTCGTTGAGCCGCTTTGACTCGGCAATTTTCGAATTCCCAGACGGTCGAATTGTCAAAGTTTCCCAAAGTGTTTCTGAATTTTACTACATTCAAGAGTTACAGGTTCTCGAGAATTTCTGAATTCTCAAATTCTTTCAAAGCCCTGAAGTTCCGAATCTCCACATTCTTCTGTTTCCTATTCCCTAAACGGACGAGTTTTTCCAATTACCCAATCCTCCCATTCTCAAATCGTCGGACACTCACCGAAACTTCTGAAATTTCCAAATCCCCGTCGCGCTCAAGTTTTCCAATTTCCCGGCATACCGAATTTTCTCCCCCCTCCCCCTCCCCCCCCTGAAAAACTTGCGATCTTCCACGGCGCGCACGCGCGCGAGATCGTTCTTGAAATAACTCGAATATGGTCGATCTCCCGCGTAAAATTCCAACGTCAACTTTCCAAACAATTCGACGCTTAATTATACAGGACACTGCTCGGATTCTTTTCCTTTCCTCCAAAGACAAGGCAACTTACCCCTTCGACTGTGCCGCCGGAGAAATGCAATTTTACGTTGCCTTTTATTCCTTCTGCTCGGGAATAAAAGTTGCAAAAAAGAAAGAAAGAAAGAAAGAAAGAAAAGAGAGGAAAAAGAAAAGGGAGGCCGGGAGCAACCGTGGCAGAGAACACGATTATTTCGATGGAACAGTGTCTCCACAGTGGCACCCACCCTCGAAACTTTTCAAATGTATTCGGTGTACGCGTCGACAGCATGCAAGCCCCGATGCACCGTTGAACTTACAGGGGATCCGAAGTTGTGACCGATCTCGTGCGCGAGGGTGACGTGAGAAACCGTCGGTGGTACGTGTTTGCCGTAGTTCAGCAGGGTGATTATACCGGTGTTCAGCGATTTCATGCTACCCCTGTAGTGCTGCAAGACGAAATAGCGTTAGTTCTCCCCCAGAGGTAATTGTCCGAGTATCGTGAATGCGCCGCGGAACAACGTTATTTCAGACGGTGGTGCCACGGTCGAATTAGTTTCGTTACGTTTCCCCACTCCTGGGAAACTTACCCCGTTTTTCTCGCAAACTCCGCCGGCGTTTTTCAGATCCCCGGTCCACGCCAGGCCCAGCGTACCCTTCTCGAAGTCGCGATACGTGAACATGTACGACAAACAGAACGCGTCGTAGTCCTCCTCTGTAACGAATTTGACATTACAATTATATGTATAGTAATATATGTAGCAATTATATATGTACAATTATATGTATAGTAGTATATGTAGCAATTACATATGTACAATTATATGTATAGTAATATATGTAGCAATTATATAGTATAGTATATTGTGCAGCAACATATAGTACTACATAATATATAGTAATTACGTAGTAATTGTTCGAGAGTTGGAATCAATATAATTTCTCGAGTATAGTAAATAATCGAGAAATGATGAAAACGAGAAAAGTCATTTGAGAAATAATAGTAACGAAGCTTCTTAACGAAAATTACAATTATAACGTCGTGACATTACAATCATATAGTAGAATTGTACAGTCTGTTTGATAATTAAGATTTTCACGAAGTGCAAGAATATACGAAATTAATGTACATGCGTATTAATATTTTTCCAAATGTAATGCCACAACAGCAGGATTGACATATCAACATATTTTACAGATTCTTCGTTGAACAAGGCATTTTTGTACAAGTATGCTTCCAAGACTTCTGAGCTGGAACAGTGCGGGTCTATGCGCGAAAATTCGGGCGTAAATCAATCCGATTTGCCCGTTAATCAACCGCGAACGAATTAACGGACGAAATTCTATGCTCGTTGCGCCCTGCAATGCCTGTGGAATTCGTTGCATCCAATCAAGAACGTCGCCCGCTATTTCCACCGGACGGAGACAAATATCGCGTTGTTCGCAGCCTTTTAATTAATTTCATTTTTTAATTCGGCCACTCTGCCCATAGCCGGTATTTCACCTGCCAGGATTTCTGATGGCGCGCGCCAGCGAAGGGGATGAGGGCTCGAAAGGGGCGTTGAATCCCACCGGTCGACGGGGGCGGCCAAACATCAGCCGAGATGTTATCCCCGGGGAAAAAATAATAAATCAGGCGTCTAGAATGTCCGGTAATTTAATTTCTGGCCAACTTTTATGCTGTGGCAACTTTCCACCCGTTGGGGATCGGCGGGTGTATGAAACGAAATGAAAAAAAAAGAGAAAAAAAGAAGAAGAAGAAGAAGAAGAAGAACGTCCGCTCGCCACCCCTTTTGTTCGCTCCTCTCCTTCGCGGAATTTTTTCCCGACACTTTGAAAAAAATAAGAGAGAAAGAGGGAAGAACGGAGGAGTGGAACGAGCGATAAATACTCCATGAATTTCAGTGAAAAGGGTTATTTACTGACGTCCAGCATGTTCATCGCGTTCGCGTTCATCCAAGGTCGATTGTACCTCGCGAATCACCGAGGGCACAGAGAATTGATAGACAAACGCGGGAAATGGGAATGAATAAAGAGGAAATATTGTATTGTGTGCCAGAAATGCGAAACTTGAAGCGAACAATTGTAAATTCATCGTATCTTTGTGATTAATTTTTTTTCTATGATATCTTGGAAAAGAAAACTTAGAATGTTTCGAGAAGACGTCTGATGTGAAATGAAAGCCACATCTTCAAACAATAAAACGAATGAATTTTCAGACTCGAGTTGACATCGCGCGTAAAGTTTGTCAATTAACGATCGTGTTACGAAACATGATTTTTCATTATGATCACGAGCAATCAGAATACTCGTTCGACTTTCTTGCACGAGGAGAAGCATCGTGAAATTCTCATAAATCTGAGACGATGAAGCTAGTTAATCGTTAATGGAAAATGAACGAAATTTTGAAGTTCTGCCGCTTTAAAATACACGATATTGCAAACTTATCGACTGAAGCTGATCTACAACCGATCGCTGACCTACTGAGGCCTAACATCGATCCACCGGATACACGAAGTGGACGCAACGTCGTGAAAGAGAAAAGTGCAACGGATCATTGGGAAAACAATGCTCCGGTTCTTTGCACAACGCTTTTTGCAATCTGAACGCGGTGTGGCCGCTTTTTGCTAACAGAGAGAATAGAGGATACGTGGGATACGTGTTTGCGGTGTGGCGTCTCTCAGGAGCATATTTGGTTACTGCGTGCCCGCGGCAAATACGTCATGGTCCGCTGCTGTTCGTTCTTCGTGTGTATCTCGATCCTGATGCACAAGCTATTTTACCTGGTACGAGGTATTCAACGGTTCTCTAACTCGATTTCAATTCATTACGCACTAAAGTAGAGACACCGTTTCAGCCGATATTCACACTGGAAAAAACCAAAATTAAACCGTTCGCGTAGTTCGTGTCACGCAGTCGATCGCAGACTCGAGCAAAATATTTGAAATGATATTTCGTTCGTTTGTTTGATTCCTTTTTCCTCGAAATTATTTCATTGTTTGACTACAAAATAAAATGATATTTTATTTCATTTTGCACTTTCTACCCGTTTCGACGAGTAATTTTTCAAATATTTGTCTCTGACTCTGTAAACTTCACGTCGCGGCGGGTTCATTCGTTATTTTGTTTCAACGAATTAACTCTACAAGTGATTTGTTTGCGTGATAAAAAGTTACGTGTTACTTTTAAAACAAAAATAACAAAATTAGTGGAAATGTCTTGTCGTTTCAAACTATGACCAAAAAAAAAAAAAAAAATTTCAATTCCAATTGGAGCAAGAGTGCTAAATACAAATTTCAAAATACTCGAGACACTCGAATACTCTTGCCATTTCATTTTTCCAGTTTTCAAGGAAACAGTTGCTGCTCGTTCTAATACTTTCGCACAAGGTGAATGCAACTCCTGCATTTCGCATTTCGTGAATATCGTTTCGTTCTGTTCTCGCTATCCTCGACTGGCTAATTTTCAACCGTGTCGCGTTTCAGCGCAAAGGCAGGACCGTTAATATTTAGAACGTGACGCAAGGAACGGGCTGGCTGTTATTTAATAACGTCTCGGCCATTATTATATCAGCGAAATACTAAGCAGCGCGAAGGTGACAGACGCTCTTCCGACGAGACGCTATTGTACCTGTCGCAGCGAGCAACGTGAAACGACGTTACATTATCCTGACGCCCGACAAATGTGTGCCTGCGTGAATTGTTCGCGCAATTTGCATCGAGATTCCAACGCGGGATTACGCGCGTATACTGAATTTTTCATTGAAATACCGCCGGCGAAAACTCGCGGCGGAGCGTGATCGCGATTAATTATACAGGATCGTTGGAATTTCTCGTTCGCGACAGGTTTCTCTTCTTTTTCACACGTCTGCGTGTAAGATGAAATAATCAGAATAGGAATAGGCGTGGCGATAATTACCTATTTCCATTCAATATGATCCAATGAGTCTCACCACAGTTGTATAATGAACGAATCCATAGAGATTCGTTTACAGTTGAATATGAATTCGTTTTTATATGAATATAAAATAAAGCAATTAGAATCGCGAACCTGCATAATGATTTTCATTCAACGAGATTCGAGTCTTCTGGACTGCGTTGTAATGAATGCTGTTTGTAGAGATTGCACGAACGTTGGGATGCGGGCTCGCTAAATATAACATAAAATAATATAAATCCCTTGATAAAAAGCTTGATTTTCTAAGCTTGATTATTTTATTCAACGAAGCTCTATGATAAATGCGTTCGTAAAGATCGTTTGCGGCGCAGGTATAACTAAATCTTCAAACGAGATAATATTCTGGTTTTTGCACGATGATTTTTTTCATTCTAAATCATATAATAAATGGATTTACATTTACTTTTTATTTCAACGAAATGAATTTTCATCGATGTGAAACGAAGTAATCGTTAAAAGCTTCCTATTTCGATACTCGAGTGCAGTATAAATACTTTCTTTTGTTATAATCTTAGGATGGCTGAAAAATAAAATTTGCATAAAAATTAGCTAGGCAAATGTATGGAAAGATAATGGAATAATGGAAAAAAGGGAACAGATTTCCATCTATTTAACAAAAGCTTCTGTCCGTGTATTTTACAGAAACCTCCAACATCAGGTTATCGCTTTGTAAAAATTTTTTACGAGAAATTATTATTTCTATCGCCCTGCTTTATTTTACTTTGGTCTGCTAAAATTTTCTGGAACAGAAAAATTTTCTTTTTTTCCCCTCTCCCCCCGTTATCCACGGAGAAATAAAAGAAACATACGCAAATTTGAAGAATTATTTAAATTGGCTCGAACATTTTAACTGAGAATAAAGAATGGTTCGTATAAAGATCAACGATTATTGGTTTGACTATGCTCGTATCCAAACCAATCGCTTCTATCATTCGCGTTGATCGATCAAACAATCGATGGATCGCGAGAGAGAAAAATAAATTCCGACGGCGAAATCACATTACAGCCGTGATTATTAGTCATCAAACATTTTGGCCGAAATTGCGTAATTATGGCAGACAATGCAAATTCAAACGCATTGGAGGATGGCACATACATCGACGCGCTGGACGCAACCCGTATTAGCGTTTTAATACAATCGATAATTTGCCACATCAATACGATGTAATTATAATATCTAATGCATTAAGCGGGCGTAATTGAGCACGGATATTAAGTATCACACGGCTTTCATCGAGAGAAGAACATGAAGAACGACGTGACTTAACATCCATTAGATAGAAATCGATGGAATCCTGTCATTTATGATTCGCATGCTTTTTCATAAATAACGGGACAGAGTTAACGATTAGTAATTGAATTCGTTTTAATTGAATAAAACCGTGTGCACGTCAAGCTGTAATTCGATTTGTTCGAATGTTGTTAGTAAATTAAATAAACGTGGTTCCTCTTGCGCTATAATTTACCAAACTAATAGCATTAGCGAATTGACGGATTACAGGTCGCTTCTCTCTCGGTGTATTATATTTTTGCGTCGAATAGAACAGAATTATCAAATAGACGTGTAATATTATATTGATTTGATGTATTTCATTAGCCGAGAATTCCATCCAATTGCGAGGAAGAGAAATTCACTAATCGAAGATGTCACTTTTATGTCACATGAATTTGCACAGAAATAATGAATTGCACAGAGAAATTCAACAATTAATGGAGAGATAATAAATATTTTCAAAAGCGACAAGTAGAGAAATAAATACGTGTACAAATTCTTCATGGCGTTGATGCTAACAATTTGTAATTTTCGACTCGTGAAGCAAATCAAAATTCTTCTTTTTGCACGTAGGAAAAAAATATTCGCCGATCTGTTCGAAGTATTCGACGGCAACGTCGAGATATCATTATTCTTCGATTGGTATCCGCTGAGACTGGAAGGTAGAAGTAGAGAAACCAACGTTACATAGTAGACAGCAGCAGATGGCAGAGAAATATTCATAGTGGCTGTGTGTCTCCGAGATCGTGCGCCTCTATAGACGGATTGAGACAAAGTGGCGGCTTAAATCAGTCCGGGAGGCTACGTCGGAGGCAATTGTATATATCACGGTTTCAATGATCCTAACTTGGGGGAAATTCCGACCGCATCGATCCGCGGCTCGTTGCTCGTCGGCAGACGTGGCTCGGTAATAATTAATCCCGGCTGTTCAGGGAACTTTAACTTCGTTCGATGGTAACTTTAATGCGATACAGTTTCTTGAGCCAGCTTTCTCTTTCGTCGTGTGCATCTCTCTGTCAGTTACAGGCGGCACGGTCTGAACGCCGAATTAATCGACTAGAATGGCGCGCGATTCCGCGAAACAGATAGCGCGATTCCGCGAAACAGATAGCGCGATTCGAGATATCATTGTATATTGGACGGAACGTTGCCCCAATAAAGCGATACTCTTGTCCAACTATTACGGATTTCACTCTGGCGAATATAGGCACTCTTGGTCGAGGCCAAGATTGATAGACTTTTTACTGGTGTTTCGTTTGAACATGGGGCAAAGATAGGATACTTTCGAATATGTTCTTGATCGTGTGTATTAAGTAGAGTAAGACAATTTGGTAAGCTTGTACGTTTCGAACATCAAACATTCTCTATTTGTAAGGACAATAATACTTTTTAGAGCAGCAGCTTTTTGGTGTGTATGATACATAAGTGATGGATCAAATAGAAATACATATGTTCCTATTTTTTTTTGAAAAAAGAAGAGTAAACTGATTTCCATCAAACATATATCCTATTGTCCAATGAAGTAACCACAAAACAAAATTAAGGTTCCGTTTAAAATTGGACAGTGTCAGAGCTTGAAATCAGATATCGATTTCAGTTCTTGAATAGCCGATACTCTGTTTATATATCGAATTCGATTACAGTCCTTCATATGCAATTGATATCCATTTGAACTCAACTTTTTTTCGCAATCAACAATTTTAATTTTCATCATCTAACTTAGACATAATATATCGTTTCGCAAGTAGCAAAAGCCAGCACGTGATCAGACACCCGTAAGTCAATAAATGGTCAGAGGCAGACAAGGTACCACAAGTAGTACAGGTCAACGCATGGTGAGAGCAAGTAAGTATATGATTAGAAATAAGCAAGTAGTTATGCGTTGAAATCGTTAAAAATTTATACTGTAAAATAGCATGATATTTTAATGATATTATAAAAGGTTCGACAGAAACGTAACTGATATTTTAATCAACGAAGGGGACAAAAATGGTTTAGCCATAAATGATTTTCCGACACTTTAAAAGAATTTGCAGTTACTTCATGCACTCAAATCATTGTGTATCATTACAGGGAAAATACGAAAACGATCCTAAAAGCTGCAATCAACATGCAGAATTTAGAACTGATATGAGGACCGACATAAGGATCGCTACAGGACCGAAAAGATAACGATCTTAGGACCGATACGTGAACCGATATCCGATGCACACGAACAGTAATCGAATCCGATATCAGTGGAAATTTCGGTCCTTCGTAACAGTTATTTAGAGTATCGATCCTTCGTAACTGTTTCAAGTTTGTAACCAGTGATGAAACAGTTTTTCGGACTCGTTTCAAGCTCTGCTCGTGCTTACAACTGTGCACACACACACACGCAGCAATCTCTGCCCCAAACAACAAAGCCATAATATCGGTTTCTGATGACAGATAGCGCGTATCACTATAACCGGATTCCCTTTGAGTCAACTGCCTATACAGAGAGAAATTACTCTCGCGTTATCCCCGAAATTCGCGTATCGTATTTCGCTCGACTGTGGGCGTCCCGCAGGAAAGAAGCGCGTTGCTCCCTGTATAGACTTTCCTCCGTGTAATCGGACCTTCTCGCATGTTTATTAAACTCCACTAGGTATTAGGTAACGACTAACGACGGAACCGTGGATGCTTTAAAGTCACAGCACAGGGGGAGTTCGCCACCCTTAACGAACACCGTCGCGACAACCCTGACGATGACCGACCAACGTTCAGACGTTTCATTAAAGTTGAAAAGTCGCGGTCGTGTCATGTCGTGTCGTGCATCATTCGCGGCCTTGCTATCGACGATTTCGTGTAAATTTCACGCAAACGAGCGCTTTAATTAACGAAACGAGTGCCGGAAGTACGGCGAAGGGTTTTCAAGACGATGTGTACACGTATCGATCGCGTATTCGAGGATCGGCCGAGTCGGGCTCGATCCATTAAGGAATGCTTTTCTTTAATTAACCGCACGCTTCGTCTGGTTTCGGCGTCTCGCGCTCGGTTTTCAATAATTGATTTCGTTGAAAAGTTCACGCTCGAGGCCGAAATTTGTAATATGTGTAATGAAAAGAGGAAGGCAACGTTGAATGTTGAGAAAGAATGCGAAAGGTGAGATTGAATATTAATATTAATAGTTAGAAATTGCTTGTCGTTTTAATCGAAACACGTTCGCTTGTCTTTGAATTCGTGTTGTCTAAGTATCACAGCCATTCTGTAGTTTCTGACATGTTATTAAATACGAAAGAACAATCGCAGCAAGACCTAAAGAGCAAGAATTAAATATTGAAGAACGATTGTTCTTAAAAGGTTCGCGCGGAGGAAATTTTTAATCGAAACGAAAAATAATTCATAACTTTGAAAATAAACTTTTGTATTCTTACCTCGCCTGTAGCTGATACGTAATTAATGATTAACGAGGAAAAGAGAGGTGGAAATAATTTACTCACCAGAGAATAGTTCAAGGAACTCTTCGACCCCATAAGTTCCAGTGAATCTGTAGCTTGGATCGTTCAGCGCGTCTTCACCGTGAACTTTAATCCGTTTTATCATGAAGCTAATATTATCTGGCTGACCATCCTGATTGAAATCTGTAAAATAGCAAACAACTATTACTACAGTACAGAAAATTTTTATATTCTTGCAATAAATTAATGCAACTCCATTGTCACAAGTAATTGATTATTTAAACAATTCTGTTTCCTCTGAAAAACATATATACGTATAATTTTCATACACATTTCTAAATTCGTTTCAATCTTTATTAAACTATAGATGTTTTATATTTACAGTTTTATATTTTCATTGAAAAGAAATGGGAGAGAAAGTTACTTTGTTGTTAATTTAATGTTGCGAGAACGTATTGTATTCCGAGCACATTTATATTTTTGTATATTTTGCATCTTGAAATTATTCATAAATGCACGGAAATTTACAATCCGCTCGTAAAAGCGCCAATAGAATGCGTCAAAATCTCTCCTACAACACATACGATGTATTCATAAAAGATGTCGGCAGAATGTCTTCAAATATCTTCATGGGCGTGTGCACACCCGAAGAAAGGGAACGAAGAATTCAAATTTCAACGTTTGGATGGATTAAAGTCAGTCGGCGAAGTAGACGGCGCGGTTCTGTAAAATTCGTAGGAGTCGAGGAGAGGGAGCTACTCATCGTAGGTAGCCGATGGCTGATAACGAAAATCATTGGGCCTCCAGGTGAGTAATTTTCGGCTTCCTTGCCAGTGATCAGTGCATTTCGAAACGGTTGAGCCACCGTCGCGTGGTGGAGAGCATTTAATCAAACACCTTCTCCGCGGGAATACCAATCGAAACTGGAAAAACGACCCCGTGACACGCGATTCCTTTCACCTCGCGGTGAAACTCTCGTGATTTTCTAAGTGTAAAATGAACCTCTGACCTATCGACAGAAACCTCTTTTATTCGACGTTATCGGGAATTAATTTTCGCGACGCGAAAAATTGTTAGACAAGTATAATTCTCATCGCGGAGTGAAGAGAATTCGTTTCTCGATAATGTTTTAATTTCTAATTGAGGGTATTACCGTACGATCGTATAATTTAACAATTGCATGGTAGCCTTTTTACTTTTTAACGCTGGTAAATTATTGACTGCACATTAAATAGAGCGAATGTAGAACTTTCTTTTTTTAAATTATTTCTCATTTGTTGCATGTGTGAGGCAGAGGCTAGTTTGAAGGATTGAGATAAAATTTGAACAGTTTCCAAAAAAGAATGTTGCGGAAGAAAAATGTTTTTCAAGTCAAAGTAAGTTAAGACCATTGCTGTGTATTTGAATATCCAAAAAGTTTGAAATAAAATTTGCAGCAAAGAGAATTTTTTTCATACATCTTCCCGAAAATCATCCGAATCATGCTTGAGAGTATTTTTGAATATTCCAACTCGTGAAAACGAAAAAGTTTAAGTGCTCGGTTTGGAGGTATCAGACATTGTTATGTTAAATCAGTGGAGCCTAAGAGACAGTAAGATTTCCAGTTTCACACACATGTACACACACAACGAAATTTCATGGTAATGTCTCCAGATGTTCTCTCGTGTGTGCATACGCAAGCAACCTATCCAAATGTCAACACCGAGCATCGTTACATCTATATCTGTGCTATAATGTACATGTGCTGTTGGCAATTAACGTAAAGTCCATTGTATCCAAGTTTCATGTTGCATTAATCAGCTTCGCTTCTGCGCACAACACTCGCAGCCGTTGCGCGCCGGTGAAAATATCACTGGTAAACGGTTCAATTACAAGCAAAGGCTTTTTAGGCTTCTTAATAATGCAACTGCAATGCTCGAGAACGCCAAGTATAAATGATGATAAAAAATTCACGGTGGAAGAAGCTAAAATATTTACAGAGTAGATAGGACGTCTTGTTTTTGGACTGGACGTAAATCGCTAGTCTCTGAAATTCATGAACGAATCTCTATAAATCTCGCGTATGTCAACTCTCTATGATTGTCTGCAACTGAACGCGCAGTCTGAGAATAACTTTTGCGGAATAGTAAAGACAAAGTAGATTCAGTCGGTACGTGGTTCGACCAAATGAAGCCTGCTACTGTAGAATTCTGCAAAACGGCTGCTCCTTTTCCAAAGTTGCCGCTACGATTACAGGTCACGAGAAACTCTACTTATTAAATCTGCGTTACTCCACAGGATAAAGAATAAGTAGAACGATCGAGTGTATGATCGGACCCCGTTACCGTGCAATCCTACGAAACAGCTACTCCTTATCCAAAGCTGCTTCTATAGTACGAAGTCACGAGACATTCTATTTCGAAACCTCTATTCCGTACGCGCAGAATTAAGAGGAAAATATGCAGAATGACGGAAACGGACGGTGCTTATTATTGAATATGGTAAAAGGCGATCGTCACGTGAGACTCGTGTTACAAAGTCGCCGGGGCTCGCCGGTCCCGGTGTCGTAAAAAATTACTTGGCAAACAAAAAAAGGGTGCAACGCATCGCGTGACAGCTGTCGCGGATATGCCGCTCGGAAATAAAGTTTTTTTTCACGTAAGCCCGGCGAGATAAGGATCGTAAAACGCACGTGGTCTACCAGCGTGGGTCTCGAACGTTCCACGTGCGAAATAACTGACATTTGAACTTCCACCTTTGACCGATATCACACTCGCGACATCCCCTTCGCGTTATCGCCATTTTTCCCTTCCCTTAACAACACTTCGCAGAACTCGCGCGCAATGTTACGTAACTGACGTGTCCATTTACAGGGCGAGTTCGTTGCACCGCATTAATTTTGCGTTTCGAAGATTGTGACGTTATCATCGAGATCATAATTCGTCGTTAATTGGCAAGACTGATTGAAGTGGAATTTTGAAAGATGCCTAGCTGTCAAGCGTGTAGAAATCGCGGCACGTTGTTGATTCGTGGAATCAACGCTGTCGAATTAGAATTTCGAAGGGCAGCGAATGAGGCCATAGAAATCATAATTCGTCGTTCGTTTGCGTCGATAACGATAATTATCCAAATCCAAATTTTGAACATTGCTAGCTACTTAAATTTAAATTTCTGTTTCAACGCCGAACGATAGAAGCGACATTTTATAATAATAAACTCGTCGAACAATATCTGTCTCACGGACTCGAGTGAAAATTTCCCAAGATGTGCACGTCAGCGGACAGGCGACAATGGCCGGCTCACTTTAGGTGGCGCGATCGTGCAAAATCAGTGGAGAAACACGAGATCTCGCTGGGCGGCGAGGGGCAACAGGGAGGGTCGATCCTTAATCGGTGCAATTCCAGATCTCTCGTCGGACAAGAGCGTTTAGGTTCGGCGGCCTCCGAGTTGTACATATCGCGATGGGAAGAGAGTTAATGCCGTCTAATCCGGAGACAAAGGGAGGCACGTTCGGCCTGGCATTTCCGACGGTGGGTGGTCGATCGGTCATCCGAAATGCTCGCGTGTAGAGATGGCCGATAATCGCGCGACCATCGTTCCGGAAGATCGACGCAACCCTAACGCGTGTCGCTGTATATTCCCTGCTGTTGGATAGAGCGAGACGGCGAAACAGATGAAGAGGGAGAGAGAGAGAGAGAGGGAGAGAGAGAGAGAGAGAGAGAAATGTTGGAAGAAGAGAGGAAGAACGGAAACGTTACCGGAAAACCAGCTTTATCCGCGAATCGTACGACGGAAGAGATAGGGAATTCTAAGTAATGTACTAGACTGGTCGACGTGTAGGCGCGGTCACGCTACGTTAAACACGGCTCAGTCACGAGACACAAATATTTGCTCGTTGTTACGGCAGGTGGTGCAACGTTTAAAGTCCTTCTGGCCGTGCGAGAGAGCTCGCCGCTGCCTTTCCGTCTCCGTGAATACGTGTGTGTACGTGCGCGCGCGTGTCTCTGCCGTTACTTAATATTCGCGAGTTGCGCCGGCCAAATGAGATTTTCAGGAACGCTTTCCTCTGATTTACGAAAGCTTTGTACCGCCGCAGCGTTCAACACCGCTATCGACGGGTTTGATTGTTTCTCAGTTGGATTCCGAGCTGATGACGTAATTCTATTAAGCGTGGCGGGCGGTATAATTCGCGTGGACAGTTTCGGCTTCAAAGAACGAATTTCTAGAATGAGGGACAGGTCGAGGGAAATGATAATGGGGGGAATCGAATTGCTTCGGGTGGCGCCGTGTGCGGTTGGAAAATCACTCGCCCGTGACCACCGAGTTCTTTGTGCTCGCTGTGTCCGAGGCATCGCCGTAATTGCATTCCGTGTTTAAGAGAAACTATGGAAGGTGCAAAAATTTGCGATAGCGCAGCGAAACCGGCGTGAAAAATTAAACGGTTGTTTCATTCCCGGATGAGCAATTGCCCGTACCCCACCTCGACTTGATACTCTGTTTCTTCCAGGGGAAAAAGTTTTCCCTCCACCCCCCCCTCCCCCCTCCGCCACCCTTCTCCCTTCGAGAGAAAAGAAGAAAGAAAGAAAGAAAGAAAGAGGGTAGTTTATCTCTATTCGAAAGGGTGGCACGGAAGCAATTTCAGAAAGGCAGTGGGTGATTCTCTTTTCTAGATTCTTTTCTCGTTCTCGGTTCCTTGATAACCATCGTTTAAAGTTTACGCATTAGGTGTGTGTAGCGGCGCAATAAAGTTCCACGGGAATCAATCGGTCAACGTCAGACACAGAAACTGACATTAATCGGTCGCAGCGCAGAAAGGAACCGCAGTAAGGCTAAGGAACATTCATTTCCCCCGATCGCCGCTGGCAGAAAGTTAGTTTAACTGGAAGGTCCGGGAAAGTTTTAATTGGTTTGCGAAGTTATTACAGCGGAATGAGACAGAAGACGCGCACTTGTTAGTTCGGGGGGGGTGGGGGGGAAACGCTGCCGATTGCCACGGCCGGAAAGACAAAAAGAATTTTCATTGCTGTCCCGATACTTCCTTCCCGCTCCTTTTCTACCATCCTCCGCCGATTTCGCAGACATTCCGGCGAGTTACACGTATATCAGTTTCTCCACCGAAAACCATTCTCGATTTTTGCGAATTTTCCTTGTGTTCCCGGTGTCTTAACTTCCTAACTTTTACTTTTATTCCACTTCGCTGATTTCTCCATTCTTTCGTTACTATGTCGAAGACGATTAGAAGTTGGTTTAATTATTATTAGAGCGCAGGATGTTTATGCGAATTCGTATTTCGACGAATGCAATTTAAACAAATGTGTCATTTAACGATTGATCGTTGAACGTTCGTGTAATTTCTCTTTCTTACACATGTAAATTTGAAGAAATTGGGTCTGGATAGAGAATTACTTCGAAATATTATAACAAGTAAAGTATTGAATATTTTGTGCATTTGGAATTTTCTACAAACTCATTACCTGTATATCTATAAATCGAGTTGACTCGCTGCACGTGACGAGTCATCACCTCAATGCTGGCCTCCTCGGACTTGTAGTGATTGAAGAACGTGTGGTCGGCTTGCAGGTACAACATACAAGTGGTTTTCTTCGGATCCACGGACGTCCTTTTACGAAGCACTCGAGAATATCGTTCCCTGTACAACCTGATTACATTTAAGAAGAAATTACATTTACTCACTCTAAAGAAGCTGTCGCTCTTAATTTAATCATGTACATATCCTCAAACAAATTTAAATCCTCCATAACTTGAAAATTTTACTCACTTCTGCGCAAGTGACTTATTTATAATAATTAATTATATCGTGAGCATGTGGAAATCTTCGAATCGACGATCAGAAATGAGTCAGATTAGTCAGACTGTAATCAAGTTGAAATAGAATAATTTCTGGAATAATTTCAATTTCGATGTGTATTCAAAAAAGAAAAGCAACAGTCTCGCCCGCGAAAGTGTTAATAACGAGTAAGCAAAGTTCTAGTCACAGAGGATTAATTAACATACACCGTGTGCTTTTAATTATCGTTCCATTTCGTTTCGAGCGTCAGATTTTCACCGTTCGTTCCGCCTTTCGCGAAACGTTCGTGGAAATAAAATTTTTTAATTTCTAACCTCCCCTTCCCGTCCTCTTGTCCAAAGCTCGTACGGCGAGATAACCGAGTTATCGAACTCAAAGAAGACCAACGGAGGGAGAGGGGAAGCAGAAGGGAAATTTTCGAGATTCTACGTTGGAACCATGCTCGAACTCGGTTTGGCGAACCATAAAAAAAAGAAAGAAGAAAAAGAAGAGCAGAATTCTTGACATCACGGTAGTCGATTCGACCGATACGTGATCCGCACTTGAACAACAAATCAAACTCCCCCCGCCCCCGCGCCAGGAAAAGAGTCGATCGCGGGAAACGTCCCGATAAGGATAACTCGGTCGCGGGCAACGTTAAATTGGATCGGTCGATAATAGTGTTTGCTCTCGATTTTTGACGTTTTCATCGCTGCTCGCTGTCCGGATAGCTCTGGCTCTTTCTCCGTCCGGGGAAATGGAGGTACGGGCTCTTTAAATGGAAGCGCAAGCATTGCACGGCAAACAGTCCGCGGGAAGAACCGACCGGACGATAAGTAATCGTTGCGCTTTTCTTCGCCGACCGGCAACTTTCCTTCCTTTGACCTTTTGGCTTTTGCAGCAGCACTGCTGCTAGAATATTTCATCGACGTGTTCGTTGAGACTGGCTAAGTGGAATCGTAGTGGAAATCGTTGAACGTCACCCGTGAAAGAAAGAAAAGAGAGAGTCGAACGTGAGGGCGAGGCACCGAGAAGGAGGAAGGGGGCCGAGAGGGACGAGACCGGTGATCGAGAACGAACGACCGTGTAAAACTTTTACACGGCTGTATAACTTTTTATTTTTTTCCAACTTCCACTTTGCTACGGTAAATGGGGGAAACGGGGGATTTCAATTAGTTACGCGGAAGACACTTGGCCTCTTTCCGATGCAACATCCCACGTAGACGCTACGAGTGAAACGAGACGCTACGTGGTCAGACAAGTGAAACGAATTTACCTATTAATTAGGTCGTCTTTTTTGTTATCAAAGGGACTGAAGATTGATGAGAATAAACTAACTGTTAAATTAGATTAATTGTCGTATCGATGTAAATGTTGATATATTATTTATTTTTAACAAGGGACGTATCGAAAGACAGGAGTATTACTTACAACGTAGACACGAGTGGAGTCGGTTTGTGGCCAGACAAATAAACGTAATTTGCTAGATTAACGTTTTGATTCGTGTAAGTGTGCTATAATTTATTCTTTAGCAAGAAACAAATCTATCGAAAGATTTTCAATTCTTTACCTGTAAATATGATGTAATTCATTCTTAACAGAAATGGAATTATTAACAAGAAGTGAACATATCACCAAGTAAAAAAATTACAATAGAATATGTACATGGAGAGACGTACACTAGAATTAAATTTATTGGAACAAAAGTTTAGTTCACGTCTGATTAAATTCCTCTCCTCTATATCTACACATTTGCACGTGAATGTCTATTACACGGAAGAAAATTATATACAGAGAGAAAGTCAACGAATAATCCTACAATATGAATCACTTATCACCCGACAGATTCTACCGTGTATCCACCGAAATTAAAATTTCGAGTGAAATAATCCTCTATCGCGAACAGTTCACGCAAGTAGTATTATCCCGTCATGGCCAGACGAGCCGATATTTACTTTCAAACGACACGAAGATCGAACGTAGGCACGTTGGCGGAACGTTTTTAAATTACGGAAGACTTCGACGGTGTTTCTGACACCGAAATGCGACGATCCTTTGTGAAGGCGTTTTATTAAAAAAAGGAAAAATGAAATTGAAGTGCTCACCTATCGAGCAGCTCTAAATTGTGCGAGCTCGCCAGGGGGTCTTTCTTCCTAACGTCTTTCGGATAGAAGCCGGGCTTGGCGCGCGAGTTCCCCTCGTTCAGGTGTTGATAAAGCGGCCGCATTGTGTCGCCGAGATATCCACTCCACGTCCTGTTCGTCCTGCAAACGATTTTTCCCGCGGTAAGCGTTTGGAAAACTACAGCGCACAGCCACAGTGAATCCCTCATGCTGAACTGATCAACTCCAGCCCGTCCCGGACTGGGATAAACGGGAGGAATCGTCGCCGGTTGCGGCAAGGCGATAACGGTGACATATGTCGAGTAATACGTAACAGGCTTGAAGCCAATTTACTCTCGAGGATCGTTACTCTCGGGCCTCCTCTCGAATTTCTACGCGTCCGTTTCACCAAGTTCGCGAGACTTGGAATTGCGGTTGTTCACCAAAGTGTGTTCGAACACTTGTAGATATATAATACATTGTGCGAATAACAATTACTTTATACGAATAATTTGAAATAGAAAATAAATGAAACGTCATTCGTTCGAGGCAAATTTTAGTCAAGCACGCGCAAAGATGCATATAAAGTAGTTTAATGCAAGAAAAGCTTTTCATTTTCCTTCCTTTTCTTTTTATTTTTATAAAACTTTGTGCGTTTCATTTTTTACGAGTATTTTATACACCATCGCAGTAGCCACGTGTTTTATACGTTCTCTTCTCTTTTTACTGTGTCAGTTTAATTCCTCGTGTGGCGCGTGATGCGATTTCGAAAAATCACCGGTCGAGTCGTAGACGAAACGAGCGCTTAAAGTATTTAGGAACGGCGCCACGCAGTTACAACGGCTGTCTATATACAGTAGGAGAAGGTAGCTGCTGTTTCACGCAGATAGAAAGATTGCCACGAATTCTTTCTGTCCGGCTTTCTGACCGGAATAGCCAATGAGGGTCCGTACCGTGAAACTTATTCCGTTGATAAGCTTTCGAATGAAACTAGAGTCACATGGAAGCTGTTAGAGTTGCTCGAAACGAAAGTTTACGCGCTCGGAGAACAATCCAGAGTACTTATCTCGAGGCAGACCGACTATAGAGCTTTCTGAACAATGGATCTATAGCTAGTAACATATACAGCTCTATTTTCAGCTTGAACAGCTGAATTTCTATAAAACAGAAGATATTATCAATTGAGGTGATCAATGACAATTTGGAGAAATATGGAAATTTCTATTTACCGAATAATAATTATCAGGTTTTAAAGACTTTTATACGTATATAATAAAGAATTAATCCACAACACGAATGATAAATGCTAAATATGGTCTCACTGAATATTAAAATTTATTAATGGATATTTATGTATACCGGATATTAATGGATATTTATATAATGGATAATTGGCTGCTGCGATCTCTGCAAAATAAAATGTGCTTGTATCAATTATTCTGTAATTTCTATACTTATTTCTACATTTGTTTCACGCTTAATAGCAATTAATATTTTCAAAAAGTCCTTACAAATTTTCGAACACTTTGGCGATCAGCTGTAATTAATGTCAAAAGAGACTTGAAACTAAAGTGTGTCCAGTTTACTCATTCGATCTTTCCCGTCTTAAAATTCTTTTTAAGCTTATTTAACTTTAAATCATTTAACTTTTTTCTTCTCTCTGACGGTACTCTTTCTAAACAACATTCGCACAAACATTATAATTAATCAATGCAAAAACCGCTCTTCCTCTCTCCGCTCTTCTCCACGTGAAAGTGCGTTCTCCTCTGTAATTATGAGTGCACTTTGACGCGCGTGTCTCAGGAAAATGATCGGTTTCCCTTGCAACCCCTTTGTGCCACAGCAGCTGTAGCTTCCCTACTAATTTCGTTAACTTCGATTGCACCGCGCCGATGCTTTGAACGTTAACTATCGAGATCTCTAATGTAAAACTGGAATGCTTGATCTCTCGCACAGTTAACCGCCATTACGGTGCCATCTGAAATTCTATTAAACCGGTCAGTAGATACCGGGCTACCGGTCGATATTAAGTTTGTACCCTGGAATATTGAACGTGTTAGATCATGCAGCGAGATATTATACATCGAAATTGCACGCTAAGCTCGAACGCGATATATCAGGTGGAATGTTTCATCGCTGAACGTTTAATTACATTTGTTCTTTCTATTGTTCAGACGAATAAAGAGAGAGAGAGAGAAAGAGAGAGAGAGAGAGAGAGAACGAGACACGTTTTATTTAATTGATTTGTACTTAGAAAGCGTTCACAGAAGAAACTGTGCTGCTGAAATATTTCTTTATTTATGTTTATAAAAATAGCTACTCATGATGACCCATGAGAGTGGAATTTTTACAAACTATTGTACAGTAAACGGCGGTCAAATGAGGGAACAAGGGGGGCTAAAATTTCTTCATTGTTTTCTACTAGTATACTTTAGCGCTATTAGTACTATACATTCTCTGTAAATATTTTGCAAATTAAGTTAATAAAGAAACCTATATATCAGCATTTTAGAATTTCTTTTTATATCAGCAATAAGAATTTCAAAAGGCCACGATTAAAATTCAATTCATTTATTACGTCACTCAGATTGTATCAATGGAACTACCGGGATGAAGCGTAAAGCTATAAATAATCTTTCAATAATTTCGCTCTGCGTGTAAAAAATATGTCTTACACTTACTTCAGTATTTCGTTACAATTGAGAAACATTTTCAAACGTTTAGGGACCTTTCTCTCGCGTCCAACGGCGCAGTCTCGTCGTTCAACGTTGAAATTTCATTTCAAGGAACAAAGAGAAATATGGCGGACGAACAACGAAGTGACTTATGCTTTATTTAATTAATCCGCGTTGTAGAGTCTTCGCCGGTACCGGAGATTTGTACCGTTACATTTTGCTGCGTGGCATTCTGCCGAAATAATTAACTCAATGATAAACAGAAGTTGAAAATGCATTTACCTTAATTCGTTTAACGTGTTCTCTCGCAAAAGCTCGCTGGCGCACGGATATCCGTCGCGGCGCGGCACGTTCACGTCCACGGAACGATACGCGATCGTATGGTGATGCACGGCGTCTGTCGTGTCTTTATCCTCGCCATCTTGCCGATGGCACACGAGCGGAGCGTATCTGCTGGTTGGCTCGATGTAGATCTCGTCGGATGCCGTGGAGATAGTACCATCGAACAGTCCCTCTTCCGTCACGATACCATGCACCGACGAGTTCTCGTCGTCTGGAACGAGAGACAACGGATTCTTGTTAGTTTCGCTCGACGTCGGTGACGTCGGCGCGGATCGAAACACGTGGAAAAGATTCCCCCGAATTCCAGAGGAAACATTAATCTATCTCTTTCGAGTTTAGAAAATTCTAATCAATTTATTTCATTGGAGTTTCGAAAATTCTGGGAATTGAGCAAGAGAGAAACATGATATTTATATAAATATTAATATCAATGAGAAAAATATTTGACACAGTTTTTGAAATGCTTTTTTCATAACCACAATGCGAAGAGGATAGAGTACGATGCACGAATCGAGCGAGAAAGGAATATCTTACAAATTGTTGCGATTAAGTAAGCGACAAATGCATTTGGTTTTGGCAAAATTAGGCTGAAGTCAGTCTTGGAAAAGACGCGATCAGTCAAAGAAGTTTATTTTTAGTATTTTAATAGTTTGTAGATATTAATTCGATCATTAGTTGAAGTTTCAGAAACGATTCTTTGTATTGTCAATATTTTAGAATCATTCTAACTAATAAATTAATCATTCAAAGATTAATCGTTCAAAACTTTCTTTTTTCTGTCTTGATTATCTGACAAAAAAAAAATTATCTTTCCCTTCACTATTCCCTTCATTTTTCACAGTTAAACTTCTTCTCTACAAATGAATTTGACGCCGATAGAGAGACAAGGAGGAAATCTAATTTTCAGATTGAGGAATTCGTATCGATATCGATATCAGTAGCGTGAGTGGACGTCAGTGTGCTCGCCAAGTCACTTTGACCATCTTTTTCCCGAACGTTGCTCTTCTATGATCATAAATCGCAAGATTTACGCGTGCAAGAACCGTGCGGTAACGGGGAATCAGCGTTTATATCACGTTTGCCCGTTCGGACTTGGCCTCTGCATGTGTGAATTTATATACGGTTGATTTGTTGCATCATCACAGCGTATCAGATCGATGATACATCGACGGATATACCATCGTTTTGTTTTCATAATTCTTTTTCTCTTGGAAGGAAATAATTCCGTGGGAAAAATTATTGCGCGATGAAATGATTTAGAAAAATCAATTTGTTTCATTGTATGAAAATAAAGTATGTAAATTCTAATATTAAAAATATTAGAATTAAAATATATGTAAATTCTAATATTAAAATATATATAAATTCTAATATTTGATATCTATAATAACTGCGTTGTGATAATATTTAAGATGAAGGAATAGCATTCTATTTGATAGCTTACTATATTCAGGCGTTAAATTTTAATATCGTTTTATTTAATAAGATTTAATATTCTTGCTTCTTTCCTTTAAATCACAATATTGAAAGACCAATACATTCGCAAATGTGCCTTCAATTCAATTCGTCGACGCACAGTGTTGTAAAAGCAAATAGCGAAATTTAACGAGCGCGCATAGCTGCGATCATGAATAATAAATCAAGAGATTAATCAACATGAAAAGTTCAGATCAGTGAAAAAAACTTTTTTTTACACAGTCATTCTCGTTAGCACTCTGCGAATGCACAAATACGATCGCATTGGTTTTCATTCATCGCAACGCGGCTTGTTCCATACTTAATTACAGTTTAATATTGCGATTAAACGCCTGCCGCGATGTATTATTCATTATTTGACGTACACTTAACATTTAGGCCGGTTATCAAACTCGATTCCATCTACGTACCGCGTGTTACGCGCTCGTTGATTTTTACCGTATTAAAATGAACACAATTTTTCAGGAAATATATTCCGAAAAAATTTTTTCGCAGGTTGAATGAAAAAACAAAACGAGAAAGAGAGAGAGAGAGAGAGAGAGAGAGAGAGAGAAGGGAATAAAAACGTGGATAAAATTTTTGGAACGCTACACTTTAATCCCTCTGGTTGCTGGCGGAATTTGATTTCCGGAGTCTCACGTTTAATCCCGATTTCGAATAACCGTTTCTATTTCGAATGAACCGTCCTCCTCTTCCTTTTCAATAATTTCATCAAACACGCTGATACAATATCTTTCCATATTTTCCCCGTTTACCGCGGACGTTTGCGTTTCGTCTCTATTATCTGTCTAAATCCTCCATCCGGGATAGATCGGGCGCGTGAAGAACAGATTTCCGCGGACGAGAAGAATGTGCACGTCCAACGAAACGTGGTATTTTTCAGTAAACAACGCTGAATTCGTAACATTCTCCACGGGTTCGCGCCTGCCCGAGCTGATAATTGAATTTTTAATACGTCAACACTGCCACCATCTTTTCAAATTACGAACGATCAATTGATTCGAAAGGGAGAATCGGAATCGGGCGCGGTATCCTCGGTTCGCCGGTATTGTCGCTCCTTCAAAATAGATCGGCACCAACGGTTGATTATCCCTCGCTGATTGACTTCGTGTTAATTAACTATTACGTTACCAGCGTTAAATTTCGACTCACGCTCGGTGTACGTTGTTTGCGATATTATTTGCGCATTTACATTGTGTAATACGTTTAATAGCGGAGGCTATCGCAATTGGTGTTCATATAATGACGTGTAAACGCCGAGAAACTCGAAATTATAACGCGTCTATTACATTTTGGCGATTATAACACATATTGTGCTAAACGTTTGTTCAAAAGTTTTTCCGTTTGATGGATATTGCTGATGAATATCTAGTGAATAATGAATTACTGCTACAATTACTATTATTGATTATTTTTGTTATTTAGCGACACTATTATTGTTATTATTACAATCATTATTCTGAATATAACAAAAAAACTGTTTCGATCGAATGTAAAGTGATATTTCTATTTTGGTTCTATTCCACGGAATATTTTTTTCATGATGTACATGTAGGAAACTTATTAAAGTTAAATATTTGCAATCGTCGGATGATCTCGGATTCACAAATCGTCCCACAGTGTCACTTATTATCGACTATTGCTGAAGGTGAAGAAGTTTGAACATTTTTCTTTCTAAATATAGAAAATCGGCGAATCTGTAATTATAGACATGACGAAGTTTAACTATGACACGGATGTCATTCTAAGTTTGCTCCAGTTTCTTTTCTTTCTTTCTTCCTTTCTCGTTTCACAGCGAAAATAGTAATGAAAATGGAACGGAGAGGCCCGCAACAGTAAAAAAAAAGTCTCTTTGCAGATTGGATCATACGTATGAAACGTAAGTTTGAAATTTCGTCGAATATTAATCTGCCAAATTTCTTTTCGCCAAAGAGGGAGAGCATATAGAGTTATGTAGTGCATAAATCGTAAAGCTGATGTTTTATGACTTTGGTCTGCAAATACCATTCGATGTGTTTCTTCTAAAATGCTTTTCAACACGGGAATATCCGTCAGAAAGCGTATTTTTCCCGGGCAAAAATATATATCATCGCTAGACTACGGATTTTTATGCAAATGCAATTAAAGAAATGGAAGGCAAGCAGAGATTTGTTTCGTCCCTCTATTGTAACAAACAGTGTATACTATTGGACGTATCGTGTATACTTTTACAGATTGTCACTAAAAAGTGAAACGCATGAAAATCGATTTAACGCAAAATTCATAAATCTAATCCACTCGAGATGTATGCGTCGTGTTGCTCGACAGCATCGTGCTACTATACACAAAGCTCGCTTCAACTTTAAGCTTTCGCTTAAAATTCTAACAATAAGAAGTTCGAAACTTTGCAATTAGATTCGAGTGGCTGGCTCGTTGCTATCCGAACATACACCGGCACACGCAACGCGAAATACACATATCAGCGCCGTGATGTTTCATTGCGCGCGACTCGCGTCGCATAAGCGCGCAAGTTAATTAACCTCCGGGCAGAAAATTTCACCGGGAACGAGAGAATGGCGCTAATTCGATTTTATTTCACAGCCCGTCGCGTTAAAAGCGTCAAACTTGTTAAATATCCAACAATTTGTAAATATTCGCGCGCGTTGACGTATATTCAAAGCCCGGGGAACGAGTTCGTTTCAATTCTCGAGGATTTTAATTAGATCGCCGAGAATGACGGCTCGTAACGATTTGCCGTGGCAAAAGACAGTTCACCTCGCGGTTTGTCAGCGGCACCCGCGTCAAACCGCGTCGCGTTGGATGACGTTATATGGCGCACCGATCCACCATTTTCCACCGTGTGAATTCCCGCTGCTCGCTCCCATTCACATTTTCGCCGGAGGTTTCCCTAAGCTGCCATACATTGTAAGTATCCTCCATTGTCCATCCGCGTTTCAATACCATTGCCATTTCGAAGCGACTTTGCCGACCTTTTGTTCGAAACGTATCGCGTATTTGTTCCAGGCCTGTGAGATTGTACGTGTTCCGCGTGATCAGTTTCATCAAACGGCGAATTATGATGCCTAACTAATCCTACAGATGCGCCCTGGTATTATCCTCCATCTTTTATCATCTCGATAGAAGAAACAAATTTGCAAGTGTAATTCGTCGGATGAAATGAAAAAAAAAATGAAAAGAAATTGAGAGACTGAGATATATCGAACGAGGGAATAATATATTGTACATTATTAGCGTGTTGATAACGCGTATGTAATAGCGTATAAATAAAAAGATTAATGTATATTTGTTGAACGATGGATTTGTGTATTGCATGTTGCAATTATGTGATAGGTAATCAATAACGAATTGTGTAATGATACAGATACGTGTTCTGTATCACAATAAATTTATTCAAAAATGAGTAAATTTCCTACGCAAAATATTATCAAGATTACTCGTAATTTCACGTTAAAACAATCTATGTTTCAGTTACAGAAATTGCAAATAACAACATCAATCGTAATTCTCCTACCCCAACTATTTCATAAATCTGCACCACTATCCTTTGTCATAATTCCATCTCTCAGAATTCAAAGAGTCGGCAGATTTGATGTAATTAAAAACGGCATAGGTAAAAATTTCAAAAAAAAAAAAAGAAAGAAGGGTAACTGATATACTTTCGAGTCTAAAGAAAAAGAGACGAAAAACAAGAAGAAAAAGGTCGCAAATAGCGCAAGGTACACGGAATCGTTATAA